CAAGAGAGTCACCATTACTCTTGGCTGATATCCCCTGGGGCCTGTCCAGAGCCTCCCTGAGGGTAGGGTCCTCCCAGTCCAGGGGCCGTGGAAGGAACCTGAGCTGGGAGTCAGGGGGCCTAGGTTTAAATTCCAGTCCTATAACTCGTCAGGAGACCTGGGGCAAGGCCTGACCCTTCTGTGAGCCTCAGTTTCCTCATCTGTCAAATGGAACACCTCTTCTTAACCCTAGCTGCTTTGGAGAACTGTGGGAGGGGATGAGAGTAGATATGAACTGGTTTTATAAACTCCAAATCCTCAGTGAGAGAAGTAAAGTGGGCCTAGGTAGAAGCCAAAAAATGGGCCCAAAGCACTCCATTTCTTTTCTCGTCCTGCCACTTTACCTTGCCCATGCTGTCCGACCCACTCCCTGCCAAGGCTGGGGCGGCCCCCATTGAAGAAGCACCACAATAGGCTCAGCTGCTGCAGAAAGGCCTTTACTGGGCAGAAGGGGTGTGAGTCAAATGCCAGTGGACCAGGGTGAGGTGAGAGGGCACGCCCTCTGAAGGAGTAGGGGTGGCATCCCTGCCGGAGGCCTCAGCCTGAATGCACTAAGGGCTGGCCCCTCAGACAGGCTCAGGGGAGGTCTGCCCACAAGGGCTTCAGGCCCCTCCCTCATGGAGATGCCACCTCTGACACGGGGTACATGGCCCTTGCTCTCACATCTGCCTTGGCTGATCTCAGGGAGAACTGTGGGGTGGGGATGGGGGCAGAGGCTTGGGAGGGCCCTTCAGGAAGGAGGTGGGAGGTTGGCATTGCGGTAGATCCAGAAACTTCTGGGACTTCAGTGGTGATATCTGGAGGCAGTGGGAAATGCTGGCCCTAAGGCTGAGGTTCAGGTTAGAGTAGAACAGTTGGACCTAAAGCTGGTTTTTCCTTTGGGCTCAAGTGTAAGTGAATTGTTATCACTGGAACAGAGAACTGGAGAGATAGGAGGAGTATTCTCTGGCACTCTACACAGCATGCAGCTGTGGGCACACAGATGGCACACATTCCTGGATAGTCACACAGTAGACGTGTGGCTGCACACCCATACACACGCACACACACATGGCCACACACACCTGGAGGCATGTGTGCAAACACCCACGTGCACAGCAATACAGACACACAATTGCATGCACACATTTGTGTCAGGCTGGGGCCTAGTATAGTAGTAAAGGGGTCTGTATGGTGTGGTTAGAGACACGGATTCCTTCCTGAATGGAGTCCTTCTCCAGCCCCTGCATGGTAGACATGGGGGTGGGGGTGGGCTTCAGTTACTTTCCCTGGACCCCCAGGGCTGCCTGCCGCCGTATGTAAGACAGGATGTCCATCTTGATATTGCTGATTGTGGTCCGGTGGTGCCAGCGCATGACAGGTATACCATCTGGCCCCACCAGGAACTTCTCAAAGTTCCAGCGGATGTCGTGGATCTTCATGGGTTCCCAGAAGAGGCGGCCAGGTGAGCCCAGGAGCTCCGAGGTGGGAGGACAGGAGTTCTGGAGCAGGGATGAGAGTGTAGCGTCAACCCTGCTTAGGGCCCCTCCCTCCCACCTCCTCCCCAGGCCTTTCTAGGGGTGGGA